TATATATATTATAGAGCCCTATTTGTGTTGTGAACCTCATGCCCCTTGTGCATTCTTCCACTAAAAGCACAAACGAAAAGCCATTTTTCAGCTGGTCTTAAATTGAAATCAGGAGTGTATCTGGGCCTCCCTGGTCAAGCTGCTGCTCCTACAGTCTGACTCTGGAACAAGCAGCAGATGGAGAGAGATTTTAACCAGACACTTTCTTAGTCCTGGTCTAGGTTTTTGTCCTTGAACAATTTTGGTGACAAATGGGATTAAAATGTGTCATTTTATATTTTAGCCTCAACTCCTTTACGCCAGCTGTCAGTGGTACCCCACCCTACAGAACCCAGCCCCACCAAGAAGACTGATATCATTGACCTGACTATAGACAGCTCCTCCTCCTCCTCCTCTGAGGATGATGATGATGATGCAGAAAAGGACACAGATCCTCCACTGAAGAAACAGTGTCTTTATATTTCCAAGCATGAGGAAATCCATGCGAAGGGGTGAGTTTTGTTAGATCTGAGAGGCACAGAATTGTTTTTAAACATTGTTTTCTTAATCATGTCAGTATTTTATCGCTTTGGTCATTCAGTAGCATATATCTAAGTGCAGCAGCATCAAAATGTAATTCTCTTTTTAAAATGATTCAGTTTAACAAGCCTCAACAGAACAGCTGGTGTCAAACTCAGGTCCTCGAGGGCCGCCATCCTGCACGTTTTCCTTGTTTCTTTGCTTCAACACACCTGATTCAGTGCTTTAATTAACTCCTTAAATTCTGTAGAAGCCTGTTAATCATCCATTCTTGCAAATCAGGTATGTTTGAGCAGGAAAATGAGAAAACATGCAGGACAGCGGCCCTCGAGGACCGAAGTTTGACACCTGAGTATCCTTCTAACCCCTATTCACACAGACAGCAGTGTTTCCCCTACCATTATACAGGCAGGGCGGCCCCCCCGCCAACGAGACGGCCCGCCCCTCTAAGAATTTCACGGCATGTAGTCATTTTTATTTAAATAAGGCCAGATCAAGTCCAGAGCTATTTTTTGCGACCCTCCATTTCATTTTATATTTTATGTATATATATAAATATATAAAATATTTATAAAATCACAGAGTTCTCTGAGT